TGTGTGTGTTGAGAAGACAGATCTTCAAACTGAGAAACATCCATCATTGTCACATTCAACCTCTGCTCCCAGTCTTGGAAAGACTTTCTGCAGAACTCTAAGCTCTCAGCTGGAATTGAAATAGCTGACATTTGTATTAAAACATAACTTAACGAGTCAAAACGGTTGTCAACGACTTGATGACAGATTGCTGTGACAGATGAAAACTATAAAAAGTCTGTAAATARTGTGTTTTAATCAGTTCATCCATTTCTACATGCAGGCTGAGAAAAAGGCAGAATTAATTCATTGACAATAATGAAAGCAGTTTTAATGTCTGCAGTCATTCAAGAAGCTGATTTCAGTTGTCAGGCTGCTTGTTGAAAGGAAGCAACATGTGTACAGCTGTTTAAGTGTGAAAGGAAGGTCTGATGATGGTGAGAGGTGACAAAAACAGGATAATGCAGAACAGATGGATGAAGAGTTAAGATTCAGTTCAACTTTTATCAGCTTGTGTTTCTTGCGTTAAAAAAAAACGTACGTCTTTAATGTGTCTTTTTTGTTGTTTTTCTTTTGGAAATAACTGCAAACAGTTACACAAAAGAGATATATTTAAAAAAACACCAATATAATAAATTTGAACAACTCTGACCCCAAAGTTGCTGATTCAGTAATGGCAACACTACAACTTCTATTCTCTTACCTATCCATTTTGGGTAAAGGTGATAATTTAAAACAGTTTATTAGAATTTTTAAACTGTGCTTGGTCAGAAGTTTCTGATTTTAGTGATTCCTWCAACTGATCAGTCCTAATGTCACAACTGTGTCGACAGAGTCTTTATCTCCGSTGGGAGAGTTTCAGTATCTGGACATCTAGTTCATGAGGGATGGCACAATAGAGCAGGAAATAGATCAACGGATCAGAGCCTCATCCTCAGTAATGAGGGTGTTGCTTCGGTCAATCATTGTGAAGAAAGAGTTKAGTAGAAAGGCAAAGCTTACTGGTCTGCTTCCATTTCAACCTTCACTTATGGTTTAGTGGCATGGATTTGTAGAAAAGCGTCATTCAAAAATGGAAGTCTGAATAATAACAGTCAGGTCCGATCAGGTCYATACAGCATACACAGCACAGCAGTCAGGCCTCAGTGTAAGGTCTTTGGCCGTATCTGAAAACCCAAACAAAGCAGCCCAGCAGGCTGAATCTAAGCGGAGACTCTCTGCACAACTCAAAACTTCTAAAACACTTTTTTCTCTCTTATAATGATGAATTGACCTWATAATGCATGTCTCTTCCTGGTTTCACCCCTGGAGTTGTTACCTTTTACGTCAAACGTCAGCGTAACCAACTTTGTTTATACTACAGCCAGAACAYATCGGTAACACACACCAACTCTCATTCTCTGCTTTAAACCTTACGGCTGCAGTGACCAGAAAGTATTAAAATACAAGATTGGATCTAACATTCAGTTAATCATTTGCTAAATTTTCTTCAGAACATGACCGAACAAATGAAAGAGAGCAAAAGGGTGTGGAGCTCCATCATCTGTGGGGGGCTCAGAATAGAGCTGCTGCTTCTCTTTATCATAAGGAATCCGTTGAGCTGGTTCTGACTTCTGAATGTGATGCCTTCTGGATGCCTCTCTTGAGTATRTCCCACTGGGAAAAGACCACTGGGCAGACCTGGAGGAACTGTGTATCTTCTCTTGCCAGATCATGCCTTTGGATCCCCCAGGAGCAATGCTGTGGAGAGGGGTGTGGGGGTTTCTCTCCCGGATCCGTTGCCTCTGTGATCTGACCACAGATAAGATGAAGACGATCAGTCCCTACGCTGTTCTCTTCACTCTGCTCATTCTGCTGGCCTTTACTTGCTTCCAGTTTTCAGTAAATGAYGWAAAATCTTCATCCTCTGCAGTGTCTCCTCACTCTCACAAACGYTCTGAAAAATTAAAATAGCCCGCTCGTCGAATGCTGATTTCGATTAAGCCTGGGGTTGACACCACAGACCAACAGATGATACTGCTGGGATGAAAACAGCAGACAGAATGTTGGAAAATTCAATATCAATTAATGCGGGTCTCAAAGCTGGGCTTGACACAGCAGTTAGTGTTTCCTTTTTGAGCAGGAAGAGAGAGGTACTCAAGCTCAGCCTCGAGGGACCCCAAGGATTAAGCTGCACAGTCGATACACGAGTCTCCTCTCTGTGTGTCTTTGCAACTACGCTCCGCTGATCAAAGTCAGACAGGTCAGTACTTTCAATGAGCATTTCCAACCATAGAAAAAAAAAAAGATTGATTAAACCAAATTCAGAGCCATGCTGAGGAAACGTTGGGTACTCCACAAATTCAGAAAGTTGTATGTGAATCAGTGGGAGAAGTCAAACTTTCAGGAGGGCAGAAATYAAAGTTTCTTTCAGCTGCTCTCCTCTGTGGGTATTGCCTCAGAGGAGAGGAAGTTGCCTGAGAGATTTGGTAACTTTAMACCGGATGTCCTTCCTGACAGGGGCGCCTGCAGGATTTTATTGGAGGGTACGCACAAAACCTCACATGACCCACACAAATACAGRTCACATGCATTTGATGTGCGTGGCACACAAAAACAACAACATGGCACCGTGCATCTTAACAGTCAGGKCCTGAYCAACACAATGCCACACTAACGCAATGTGCRTTGCGCAGAATCACAATGCGACGCACACACACATAGAGCTGAGCGATATGGCTGACAAATGTATCTCGATATAAGCGTTTCATATYGGTCAATRTCGATAATTATTTATTAGATTTTTTTACATAAGGACCAGGAGAAAAAAAGGCTGATGGTGACATGCCTTTTTCTCCTTTTTCCACTCCTTCCTGTCGAGCTGTTGTACTCATTTTCTCCTGTCACTCCATGTTGTATTTTATTTTTAAGCAGTTCAGAGGCATGGTGATGCAACATGAAACTGCTGCTGCTACATGAYGGGTTATTGCATGATGCACCAACGTTGTTTAGCTGGGCTTTAGCAGCTGGTTATCTTTTAATGTTTGTTATTTTGGGTCCATAAGTTGTATTCTTTCTCCTCAGTAAATTTTGTAAACTTTGTGCACAGCRAGGTGGTGATCACAGTTCTTATATGAAACCAGAGGAAGACAATAAATTCCTCCGGCTTGGATAGAGGAGGTGGGTAGTGATTTTACCGYTGCAGTAGCTGTTGATGTGTGTTGTCACAATCTCCGGTCCTGGTCTGTTGGTCATTTGTATTTCCCACGAAAATTTCGTAAACTTAYGTAAGTTAATWACGTGTCTATCACAAGAGATATCTTTTTTAATTTTCCTTGTTTTACATGAAACATTATTTAGTGGTTGCATTTTGAACCATTAGATAACGCCCCCATACAAGAGAAAAAGGCATAATAGGGCAGAAATGCAGTGTCAGCTGTCWATCACAAGGCGCAGCAGCGCATGGCCGTCCTGTGCGCCGCCGTCACTGTGTTAGAAAAAATAAAATAAAAACARGGCAGACAAAGGGATCTGATTCATGCAGAATGTAATGGAAACTATGCCAAASAAACAAAATGCAGCAAAACAAAAAGTGTCACATTTTAAGGGTGTTTAGGTACATCAAACTTTTACAATAAAAAAAAAATCAACTACCTCCTCATATGACCGCCTGACTCTTCCCATGTTTTCCTAGATGAGTCCAAGACGGACGTCCCGGAGGACTTTGACATCGACATGGACGCCCCAGAGACCGAAAAGGCGGCGGTCACCATCCAGTCCCAGTTCAGGAAGTTCCAGAAGAAGAAGCGTGAYGAGAAGTCCTAGTGAGCGTTGTACCGCTCCGTGGCTGTGCGAGGTGACGGCGGGCGGAGGCGACTGCACAGCGACGCCGGTGTGACATTTGCATGTAAAACAAATTCATACCTGTGGAGAGTCTGGAGGGGGGCTGGGTTTGTGAGGGGGGTGGGGGAGGGAACGTAAATGCCTGTTTAACTTATATGTCTGTGAATTCTCATTATCCTGTTATTATTAGAACTAATGGTTTTTATTTTTGACTGCTGTATCAACTAAAACCTGAATAAATTACAGAGTTTTCGCTTCTGTTTTGCCACATACGTTCTTTATGTCATCAGGTCCAGCTGTGGTTTTTTTTTTGTTTTTTGTGTTAGAATATGTTTTCGTACCTGTTCTCATAGCTACATCTGCACCATCCCTCTCTGTAAGCCTGTTTMCCCCAAAGGCGCCTGTTTTCTGAGTAAATCGGAGTGAGAGCTGACCTTAAAGGTGCTTTTCAGGAGACTCAGCCTTGAACTTTCCATTCACGTAGACGCATTTTTCTTACCTGCATGATGCAACGGGGGGCAAAAAATAAGCTGTGTATCACTGTACATTGAATAAATAAAAAGAAAAAAAACTGTGTGGAATTTGTGTTGGAGTGTATAAAAATGCTAAAATCTTTGAAAGACCTCGAGCCACATGAGGTTGCTGTATTTTGATGATGAAACTATAAATAGAAACTCTTCTGAATGAGTTTGGTTGAATCTCCTCCCTTCTCAGCTTGTTGACCTTCTCCAYGTGGCGCCGCTCAAACTCTGTGACTTCTTCCTGCTGAGCTTTTCTCTGCAACAACACAGACCTGTTCAGTTTGAGAGTTTTTACTTCATTATTCTTATGTTTTCCCACTGAGACGGGATCATTTGAAAATTCTATTTTGGGTTTCACTCGGCCTGAAATAGAAGTGCGTTTTAGCAGAAAGAAAAACAGGATTTTAAAGGAGTCTCTGCATCTGATTAATGTTTCAGAGCTGCTGCTCCACACTTTCAACTTGATTTCAGCTCTGTGCAAAATGATTGCCAGGCCAGTGTTTGAGCTGTGAGCGAGTAGGCCTTACTCGTTTTACAGTAGATCACAGAGGGGCATCGTTATACAGTGTAACGGGGTCTCGCTCATTAGTCTGCCTGAGGAAACAGAAACATGAAAAAATGGTGAATATGTGACCCTGTTTAAAAAAAAACTAAAAAAAGGAGAGAGAGAGAGAGAGAGAGAGAGAGAGAGAGAGAGAGAGAGAGAGAGAGA